AATCTTAGCTTGCTTGTACTGTATGCATTATGACAACAGCATATTTAAAAGAGAAAATAGAACTTATTAGCATTTTGATAAGGTACAATGTGTTTTTTGACTCTCCATATTATAATTAAGGGCCTTGATAATGCATAAAAGCAAGATTATTTATGTGAAGACTGCGGCCGACACTGAGTCCTCAAGTTTAATGTTTTTATTAAATCATTTTAAATGTCAAAATGATGTAGATATTCATGCACCCATACATGTCAATTTTCATGTACTGACTACTGATCAAGTTTTTTTGAACAGCTTTCACATGAAGGATGTGTGGCTTTAGGCAGACAAGAAATACACAACATATACATTATAAAAAAGTAACATCACTACTATTTTATTTAAAACAATTTCAGATAAAAAGCCTGAAGTGTTAGAGAATTTCTACCATTCATTAGTCTGTCAAACTTACAGCCAAGATTACCAAAGTAAGTGTGGCAAATATTAATTAATATGGCTTGCATATACATAATGTGCAAGCAATATAATTAATTATCTTGTCCTATAATAAATAGAACATTCAACAATGTATATAAGCTGAAATCGTAATACAAAAAATCATGGAAATTCAAGTTGGGATTTAAATCATTGAAACCATATATCTTAACCCTTTCATTCATAATGTCGTCATCAATACTTTTCCTCTTGCTTTTAAGGCTTTACAAATCAATTCACTTGTCAAAGGTGAAACCTTTTTTTATATCAATGTATTTTTTGCAATTTCATATGGGATTGTACATGCATTTTAGGCTGCAAAGAAAAGTGGATGTGAGGCTCTTAAAGAATGGGTACAACCAGTTCGAAACCGCTTTTGGCACTGTGCTGAAGAGTGCAAAGGGGATTTAACTAATCTTAAGGTAAAAGCTTAATGTATCTGCAATGAACAAAGATAATTGTTTAAATCCTATTAACCGTTCCTATGCATCCCGAATGCACCCTACAATATTATTTCAATATATCTAATATATGGCACACGATAGCTTTGCAGATTAATGGGTTAACCGAACTAGCAGACTGATAGTCGGATAATGAGCTAATGCATGTCTTCTGTGAACCCACTAAGATGCATTATGCGCAATGTTTTATTATTTTAATCTGCCTGGCACCAGACAATTATTTATCAAGTCAGGAGAGCCTTTTCTATTAATAAATCAATGCCGAAGACTCTCTTTATGATAAGTTAGGTCGCGGTCACACTAGCGCTTGTGCTTGGAGATTACCACCGGATTAGCGTGCTTGCTTGAACACATACCAAGCTCATGCTAGAATGTAAGCCAAGCACGTCGCGGTCACACTCAAAAAAGCAACGTTTGCTTGCTTGCTGTTGTTGACAGATAAACATTAAAAACCTATCTAATAATCTAAAGTCCATTATATTAAAAGCAACGAATACACATTATTCTTGTGATTTCGTAGGCCTAACTAAGTTTAGACTTTACAACATATAGAGAAATGTGTCTTTGTCCTTAGTTCTGGCGCAAATTGCTTGCCCGATCGTTATTCATTATCATATTATATGTATTAAATAGGGATGTTAACATTGTATATTATATAATTACACGGGCAAGAACTAAATTACTTTGAAATTTTGAATTTGGTTTCTGCTTCAGGTTTCCATACAGAAATACCGTTTATTCATTCGACTCACTGCTTAGCGCGTTGTTGTGTAAGCAAAATAGTTCGAATCTACCGCGGTTCTGTCTCTATTCAAATTAAAAATGACATGTTGAAATTACTTGTCTATTTGCCTCCTAAAACTCCACATTTTATTGGCTGAATTATTTAATCCACTTGAGATCCACATTCTAGCACGATTCAAACATACCCTGTAGTGTGTTTGGATCGTGCTTCGGCGCCTTTGAAATTTCAAGCAAATCGTGTCAGATTTCAAGCATGCTTGGGTTTTGTGTTTTGCGCGGTCACACTGGCAAGCGCGCTTGGAAGGTGATGTGTTGAGCGATTCAAATGGATTTAGTTCAAGCAAGCACGATTCTAGCGCTAGTGTGACCGCGACCTTAAATCCCTGGGTAATATACAGAGTGTCATTTAATAGACACATCATGCATGATGCATTACTTCATAATGGGTTGTTGAGTATATATATTCCTGTATTCATTAATTTGTAGGAGACCTGGATTGGCATAATTCATCATGTATGTGGAGAACATAAGTGGGAAGGAGGACAATGTCAGCATGGTCCCTTAACCCATTTGGAATATGAAAAACCAATCCTTGCCAAGAACAGCAAAGCAGCACAATAACTGCGATCAATTGCATTTGATCCAAAGTGGCTGAAAAGTCACCATTTCTATGTGTTTTTTAGGTAAATAGAGTAATACCATTGAAAAGATAATTTTATATTCAATATACATATTTCAGGAGGGGCCGCCCCTTATAGGAAAATGTGAACCCCCCTGTTCGTAAGTATCTCCAATCTTTATGTCTGTTATAATATCTATATGCATAATATCTAATTAAAACTAATTACATGTAAGTAATTATATATCCCATTGAGTGGCAGCACTCTCCCCTTGAGTGGCCCTGACAAGTAAAATCGGCTGGCATTAGACAGAGTAAAATAATGACGCAGGGCGTATCTATCCGCATTAATTGCGACTTAAAGGGATATTACACGGAATAAATTAAAATCTAATTTGCATTTTATTACTATTTTTTTGTGTACTGTATTTATTTTTACCTGTAGATATGAGGGTTATACAGCAAGGTTACTGCTGGCTGCCATAGATCACAACTTTCATATATTCAGAGATGCTATTGAGGGTAGATACCACAAGTTGTATTCCAAGCGTTCTTGAAACTGGAGGGCAGAACATGTAAAAAAACCGAAAGCATATGATTTCAAGACTGTCACAAGGAAAATTGAGATTTCTCTTTCCAACCCAGTGAATCTTGCACCTACAATTGCGTTGAAGGGATCACCCGTAACTGCAGTTTTAGTGGATGCAAAACGTTCAAGCCAATAAAAAATAAGACTAATAATAGTCAGTAGTGAAATATTAACAGCACCAGTTGGGTCAAATGATTCCACTTAATTGCTAATATTAACTAATATTAAATTAACACAATTTTAAATATTAATCAGAGTTCAATTGTGTTGATTCATTTACCATCGTGCCCTACTTTAACTTATTGGTGTGGATGAATAGCCCACTGACAAGCAAAATATTTTGGCTTTAACTATTAAACGAGAAGATAAGGTACGAACTTTTCTTAAAAAGTTAAAGAACAATGGTGTTACTTCAGAGGAAATATATAGCAAACATTGTACCTGTGTACAAGAAAGCAGAAAAAGATCAAGTTGAAAACTGCGGCCCCATTGCTCTCCTCTCTATAATTTCGAAAGTTCTCGAGCGCTGTGTTCTTCGTAGCAACAGAGATCACTTGGTAGTCTTGATCAACAACTCCCAACATGGTTTTATTCCAGGAAAATCTTGTACTTCCCATCTGGTGGAAGTGCATGACTATATAGGATCTTTACTGGACGCTGGGAAACAAACTGACGTGATCTGCATGGATATGTCCAAAGCCTTTGATAAAGTTAACCACCAAATTCTTATTCATAAACTTTACAACTGCTTTGGCATCTCTGGTAGTTTACTCGGTTGGTTCTCCTCCTACTTATTGAACAGAAGGCAACGTGTGACTGTTCTAGGGGCTACATCATCTGAAAAACCTGTTTTGTCTGGAGTCTCTCAAGGTTCTATCCTGGGTCCAATACTCTTTATCCTTTATGTCAACGACCTACCTGATGTAGTGAATAATGCAAAAGTAGCTTCTTTTGCTGACGACACAAAATTATTCAAGTGTGTCGATTCTCACATAGACGGTGCCTCGATTCAAAGTGATCTTGATAATCTTGAGGAGTGGTCGACTTCTTCTGGACTTGTATTTAATCAAAATAAATGCAAGTGTCAGAGAATTACCAGGAAAAAGACTATACCACCGAATTCCCCTACACCATCAAAAACAAAACCCTTGCAGTAACAACAGAGGAGAAGGATCTTGGCATGCTCGGATTCGTACGTAGATCTGCAACGGAAATCACGGATAAAAGGATTCGCCGTGCATTGTATTTGGCAGTTGTACGACTAGCGCTGGGCTACGTCACTTAAGTGTGGTCGCCGCAGTCGGTGGAGCTCATCGACCGAGTAGAACGTGTTCAACGCCAAGCTTCAAAATCTATTCTAGGCCTCCCATTCATGTGTGACGTATCATATAAAGACAGACTCATCTCTACAGAACTTCTTCCCCTCTCATATTGGCATGAATATTTAGACTTAATGTTTTTCTTCAAAGCTGTTACTGGCATTGTATCGATATCTCAAAATTCCTTACCTGAACGTGTTGCTCCCGTAAGAGTCACAAGTTCATCTGCTAATGTCAACGCAATCTCATTCCGTCAACGAAAACATAAAACAAAAACTTATAATCGATCATTCTTTCTTCGAACAACTAGAACTTGGAACTCTCTCCCGGAGCATTTAAGGCTTATTAATTTCTTTTATTCAATTTAAGAAAGGGATATTAGCATACTACTTGTTTGTATTCCGATGCTGCTACAACATTGACGATTCACGAACTTGGAAGACTGTTTGTGTCAAATGTAACACAAGCAGAAGTCTCATCTGGCCATTAACTTGCTGTTACTAAAGGGGCGTTTGCAGATTGCGATTTGTCCTGTACGATTCGGGTTCTGGTGTAAGAAATTCATCTGATGCCACAATTCCAAAAATCTGAATTGAGGCGAAATTTCAAATGCACCGCAAATTGACGCGTGCCTATTCGATTGGATACGCCAGAATACGAGTCGTACACGGGGGATCGCGGTGTGTAAACGTACATTAAGTAAACTAAGTATAACTACATAGGTGATTATTGAAAATTCTCCACGCTGATTGGTTGCCGTTGAGGTGATTATAACGCGATAATTTTTCGAAATGGCGGCCGTCGGCCGAAGCCGTTTTGACAATTAAATGACGAAGAAATGTGGGTTTTTTTTACATTTTCCCCCCAAATAATCACCTATGAAATTATACTAGTACTAAAACAATTGTTCGCCTCAGGCTCGGTGATTATTGTTAATGAAAACCTTGACTTCGTCTCGGTCCCTATTCACCGATAATCACCTCGCCTTCGGCGAATAATTGTTAATTATTTCTGTTTTCTATATTTATACTTGATATTTTGTAAAGGCCCACTGTAATTGGTATTAAGCTGTTGTGGTGTCCCAGCTTCTTTAATGCAATTATTGTATTATATTTGGAAGCGAAGCACGATAAATAAATAAATAAGAAACTTGTTCCAACTGTTTCAAGACCTGCTATACTATATGTATTGCCCAAAATACACAAACATGGTATTCCCTTAAGACCTATTCTATCTGCCATCAAATCTCATTCCTATAGTCTAGCTAAATTTTTGGTTTCTCTTTTGCGCCCTTTAGCGAATGATTCCTTTTTTTTTCATTCAGGAATTGATGTCTTTAAATGTTAATACTACAACAACGTAATTATGGCTAGCTTTGACGTAACCTCCTTATTCACTAATAATTCCTTTAGATGAGACGATTGACATAATTTCCGATCAATTATATTTAACTCAAACTTTTTATCACGGCTTTAGTAAAACAGAATTTGTTCAATTACTCAATTTAGCGGTTACAAATTGTCATTTCATTTTTGATGGAAAATACATAACTATGATCAAATTGATGGCGTTGCAGTTTTGTCTGTATTCCGATGCTGCTACAACATTGACGATTCACGAACTTGGAAGACTGTCTGTGTCAAATGTAACACAAGCAGAAGTCTCATCTGGCCATTAACTTGCTGTTACTAAAGGGGCGTTTGCAGATTGCGATTTGTCCTGTACGATTCGGGTTCTGGTGTAAGAAATTCATCTGATGCCACAATTCCAAAAATCTGAATTGAGGCGAAATTTCAAATGCACCGCAAATTGACGCGTGCCTATTCGATTGGATACGCCAGAATACGAGTCGTACACGGCGGATCGCGGTGTGTAAACGTACATTAAGTAAACTAAGTATAACTACATAGGTGATTATTGAAAATTCTCCACGCTGATTGGTTGCCGTTGAGGTGATTATAACGCGATAATTTTTCGAAATGGCGGCCGTCGGCCGAAGCCGTTTTGACAATTAAATGACGAAGAAATGTGGGGTTTTTTTTACATTTTTTCCCCAAATAATCACCTATGAAATTATACTAGTACTAAAACAATTGTTCGCCTCAGGCTCGGTGATTATTGTTAATGAAAACCTTGAATACAATGCAATTATTGTATTATATTTGGAAGCGAAGCACGATAAATAAATAAATAAATAAATAAGAAACTTGTTCCAACTGTTTCAAGACCTGGTATACTATATGTATTGCCCAAAATACACAAACATGGTATTCCCTTAAGACCTATCCTATCTGCCATCAAATCTCATTCCTATAGTCTAGCTAAATTTTTGGTTTCTCTTTTGCGCCCTTTAGTGAATGATTCCTTTTTTTTTTCATTCAGGAATTGATGTCTTTAAATGTTAATACTACAACAACGTAATTATGGCTAGCTTTGACGTAACCTCCTTATTAACTAATAATTCCTTTAGATGAGACGATTGACATAATTTCCGATCAATTATATTTAACTCAAACTTTTTATCACGGCTTTAGTAAAACAGAATTTGTTCAATTACTCAATTTAGCGGTTACAAATTGTCATTTCATTTTTGATGGAAAATACATAACTATGATCAAATTGATGGCGTTGCAGTGGGTAGTCCTCTTGGTCCGCTTTTCGCAACTAACATTTTTCTGACGTCCTTTCATGAGAAATAATGGCTTGATAATTGTTCTGATTGCTTTAAACCTATTTTTCCCGCCGCTATGTTGACAACTCGTTTGTATTGTTTAACTCACGCGATCATATTGTTCCTTTCCTTGATGGGGCTTGATTACCTTAACTTGAAACATCCCAATATTAGATTTACTTTTAAAATTGAAAATTATGATAAAACTCTGCCTTTCCTATTAAACGGGAATTTTGAATTAACTTCTATTTATCGGAAACCAACCTTTACTGGTCTTTTTACAAACTTTGAAAGTTTTTTACCGACTGCACACAAGAAAGGTTTCATTTTCTCTCTCTTCTTTCGTTATTTCAGCATCTGCTCCTCATATCAAATATTTCACGCTGAACTTGAAAAATTCAAAAAGTTACTACTTCAAAATGGTTACCCAAAATTTTTCATGCATAGATGCGTCAAAAGTTTTTAGATAAAATGATTTCTCCACCTCCTAAAGTTTAAACGCCTACGGTTTCCAAATTACTTATTCCGATTGTTTTACCTTATACGGGAAATCAAGCTATTCAGATCCGTCAACAATTACACAAATTGTTTTCCTCGGCTTATCCTCGTAATATTTCCCCAGTACCATGAACAATGGCTCGGCTGCGCCTCGCCATTGTTCATGGCACTTGTATTTAGAAGCCGAGTTTAAAACACTAACGAGGATTTGAAATTGCTTCTCACACATCATTAGACTTTCATAGCAATGAGGCATGAAATTATTAGATATTCAAAAAAGTGAGCGTGGGACATTAACGATTATACATTCGCTTGAAAGTTTGCATGAAGTGTAACGAAGCATTCAGTTCGCTTTCGTCGTGAATAGATGAATTTTTGTTGGCAAAAGAGCATGGCATCTTCTTATAATATAAGAAAAAGCGGTTTCGAGAACCAGAAAGTGTTGAGCACAGTAGTGCAAATGTAAGGAAAGCCACTCGCTGACAAGGTTGGAGATCCGAAAAACGATATATCAGATTGTGTTTGCGATAAGGCGCTATCTGGTGGAAAATGGAAGAGCCAAAGTGAATATATATTAGACAGTAAACATTATACTGCAGGGTAAGTTGCTGTATTATTGCTGTAGTGTTTAAAGTGCTGTTTAATATGATAGTTGGTAAAAAAGTTGGTTTTCCTATATTTATGTAGTTTTCAAACGTTCAGAAAAAGTGTTAAATGTAAAGTGTAGTTAGAAAAAATTTCTAAATACAGCTTACTGTACAGTATTTAGAAATAATTCTAAACATAGCAATTAAATATATTTGCATAATCTTTTGTTTACCCCTCAATTTCCCTATTGTTCAAAGCCCTTCCCACTTGAAGTTATTAAAGTCCTGGTCTAGACGGGGTATCCAGATGATACACGTGATGTAAATTACACCATGTCATTGGCAATTACACCATGTCTACAGCAATTACACCATGTCATTGTGAGAAGCTCTATTAAACTTAAAAAACTCATTAATAATTTCGGCTCGAGTTTGAATAACAGATAAAGATCGGCTGCTCATGTTTTAACTATAGTTTATAATTCTATAACTTTACTAAAAGCCGATACTTCGTCTTCCTGTTAATATTTCGACATCTACGATACGGATGAGGACGCTTCTCCTATCAACTCCACATCGCTTCCAGAATCGCTGGAAACAACCACCGCGTACGACCTCTTGGAAGCCATGTTGTATAAATATAGCGCATGTTGTTTAAACAAGTCCTGATTCAATAAACAATACAATAGTTTGAAAAATAACCTTATGTATTTGTACCTCGGTACTCGTGAAATTTTCGGGTAGATCTATTACCAGAAATTTCTGGAACAGTGGCAATCATTTTTTGAATAAATATTCATATTCGTTAACAATGGCGGACGGTCATACAATTGTGAGCTCTGATGAGAAGTATGATTCGGGCAAGAAATTAGTCATTGATCAAGAGAAATATACTGATAATGTAGTGAAATATTTAACAGTAAGTGATAAAGGCAAATTCAAATGGAATGGTCCCTTCCAAAGCCTAAAAATGTTGATGACCGAATTGACAAAGAACGAATCAAAATGGTCGGCATCTGGTGGTTATTGTAAATTGCTCGAACTAAACGATTTAGCTGTAAGATGGTATGCAGACAGTAAGT